GTGTGTGTGTGTGTGTGTGTGTGTGTGTGTGTGTGTGTGTGTGTGTGACATCTTGCATCGATCCCCCTACCAGTTTCTTACCAATAAAACACATGGGTGGCCAGCTTGTTTGTTATATGGGTTTGCAAACAGTTCTTGTGTATTTGGCTTTGAGCTGTAAGTTACTCATTGTTAAATCAACATTCTACCTTTACTTCAGTGTTTTTAATTATAAGACGAGCAAGTAATTTTGAAATACAGTGGTGCTTTTGTTAACACTGTACAGTTTGCATGTTGACCTTTGTAATTTTAATGTTGCTGATGTTGTGCTCTTTTATTAAGGCCTTTTCCACATAGAAATAGTTTTTCAGAAATGATCTTTCTATTTGTTGCTTCTAAAAAATAAGATAGATTAGAGGCGGGGCTAAGAGGTGTTGTTTGTATGAGGTTGCATTTTGGCAGTTCACAGGAAAACTCAAGGATGGCATTTCAAGATTTTTTTCAAAATGTACTATATGTCTACACTCCATTCAATGATTTATACTTTTGAAATAAATAAAACTGGTTCAACATTAGTTTTTACTTTTTTCATTCTTGTTACTGCACGAATTTAAAAATTAAATGACCAAAGTATTGTTTTTTTTTTTTTTCATTCTCTAACATAGATGCTTTCAAAATCGTACTTTTAGCTGATGGTAAATGTTACATAACAACATGTTGTGATGTCAGGTTATGTATGTGGTTCCTGGTTGCTTCTTTGTTTATTTACACACTCCTTACACAGTTTCTTGTCAGCTTTCTGCTGGAGTTGATGAAACAAATGGATTGTGTTCTCATCAAAGCTGCATTTAGTTTCTTGCAGCTTCTGTTTTCTAAAGTATGCCCAGACGGCTTGCACAGCTTACGTTTTCTGTCTGGTTCTGGTCTGTAACTATGACTTGTAACATTTTGCTGATTATTAATCTGTTCTTGTCGCCCTTCACGTTTCAGTTGTGTTGGCTAAAACAGCTAACAGTGAAGTAGGAGGGAACATGCCAGCATAAAACTGGCAAGCACTCAGCAAGTGATTGATTGTTTGCTTGTAAAATTGTTGCTGAGTTTGTAGGCAAGTTAAGGCAGCTCTGTTTTCGAAGCAGGCTGATTGCCTTCTTTTTTAAGAATGAGGTTACAAAACGTTCTGACAACAACACTGGATTGATGGTGTGTAATGTTTTTTTTAAATTGATGTATTTGAATAATGTACCAGCCCTGACTTGTCTGTGTTAGCATTTACGTCAAAACACAACTGTTCAGACATCAAGAGAAGTGAGACTGAAATTCTCGGACATGAAACTTCGTGTTGATTTTTATTTTTTATTTTTTGCTCTTGACTCATCATTACTATTGACAAAACTCACACTCTCACAATGATAGACAATTGTTGAGTACAACAAAAAAGACAAAACAGTGTTAACTTTGGATATTCATTTAATGTTAAAATCACTTTTTCCATTTATACAAATAAGTTCACAAAATAAAAAAAAGAAATAATTAACAAAAGGTTTCCCAAAATAAACAGGGAAAAATTTAACAGTCACACTGAAAATACTTTTGGTTATCCTCAATGTTTTCTATTTTTTACAGACAAATATTCCAGTTGCATCTCTTGTTTTAAAGGCATTTTGTTGGCACTGAACTTTAAATTTTACACCAATATACTGTGGATGACTTTACAGCTATTGGCAGATGTGTCTTTGGTGCGTTTAGCCACAGGCAGAGTTGTTAGGGCTTTAAGCACTCCGAGGCATGTGGGTATATTGAGTGAGCAAATGACAGTGACTTTATGTCTGCAGGCCTTTGCACAAGACACAACTTGCATTATGACAGAGGTTGAAAGATCTACACACACACACACACACACACACACACACACACACACACACACACACACACACACACACACACACACACACGCGTGCGCGCACACACACACAATATTTTTGTAGCTCCTTCTTTGTGCCATATTCACAGATTTTAAGCTCAGCACTCAGTCTTTTTGGTAATCTTCCAGTGGATCTCTGCAAGCCTTGTTGTCTTTTAGAAAAGAGTTCAAATGTTATCAAGTTGTGCATCTGGTTTTTACATAGTTATGGTTGGGTACAAGCAAGCATAACGGGTCTCCTTTGCCGAGGAGAAATTGTGTACAGCACATCATCAAGCAGGCTATTTTTACTCAAATGAAACATAAGACATATTCACTATTTGCTTTGCTTGTTTTCAGCCAGGCCATGAAGTGGATTGAGTGTTTGAATTATAGTTGAGGGATAGCACAGTTAGCTTTACGGGTAAATGAAGAGCTCTTTGATTTGAATATAATCACTGAGTATTTGCTGTAAGACAAACTTAAAAGTGGTTGAAAGACAGTGCACTTAGTTAGAGGGGGATCATTCAGTTTCTTCCCTCTGTACCTTGTTGTAATCCTGCTTCCCTTTTTCTTTTGTATTTGCAAAGCATGACGAGGGCTTCGGAGTGATAAAGAGGGATTTAGTCTTGACTCAGTCCAGACTCACATCTACTTAGACTGTCTGATATTCTGGGGGCAAAGCTGTTTGACTGAATTTACTGGTACCAAATGAGTTTTAATCTTCAAAGATTTTAATCTGCTGTTTTGTCTGTTAGTCACAAAAAGTGGGATCAGGGTTTTGAGGGGTTTTAACATTCACAATGTTACACAGTTCAAACAATACAAAAAATAATTAAACATATATACATTTTATCAAAACAAAGCCATACAAGTATCAGCTATTTTCTCTGAACTTCATTTTGAGTCTTAAAGGTCATTCACAGCATATTCTGATCCCTTAGGGTAAGTACTGAAGAGTTGCACTGTGCAGAAAAAAACAGCTAAGATTGTTTTGTTGGGGTTTTGTGATGGAGAAAGGCACTACAAGTTTATTTTGAAAAGCACAAGTTCATTGTGTGTCCTAACTCCAAATTTTAGTCCATGACAACACACGATCAGTTCCAGCATCAGGACAGATGAATGTCCAAACATGATTTCCAATATCTTCTTGGACAATCATAGGGCTGTGAGTTTGTATGTAGAGCTGCTCTTCTTGTGATTGGTTGATTGATACCATGTCCTCTACTTTCAAACACCAGACTTTGTATTCCACATGGAGGGAGAGAGCAGAAAAATTAAAAGTCCTCCTTTAGAGTTGCGTTATCAAATCCAGCTGTCAAAAGTGATAAGGCTTGTGCAAGGACATGTTGTTATTGGATATGCAATGATCTTGTAGTAACAACACCTCATATTCCAGACTGCCATTTTGGACAGCAGGTTCAGGGATCATAAGTTGGGGCTGTTTGTGAGGCAACACCCCATTGTCTAGGCCAGTTTTAACTCCATCCAACTCTAGCTGGGAGGGCTCACAGTCTAGATCCAGGTTGCCCTTGGCTCTCTTTCTGCGAAAATAGCATACCACTCCCACTGCTATTGCTATCAGTATCAGTAGGAGCATGATGGCAGTTGCAGGCACCAGGATGGTGGTAAGCTTTGGGTTTTCAGTGCGTGCATTTGTTGTTTCCATGATTAAAGGTTCTGTATGAGCCTCAATGCAGATGCTTTCTATGCCACTATGATCACCTAAAGGACTGACACAGACAGCATAGGTGGAGTTAGGATTCAGACCTCTAAGCCTGTACTCTGGGAAGGATGCTGGGAGGTTGAGTTGATTTGGCCTGCGGTCCGACCCTGACAGATTGCTATACGTCAGACGAATTCCACGAATGTATGGACGCATTTCAATGTACCGGTGAAGGTCTATCAGAATTGAAGTTGGGGTGGCTTGATGGGAGCTGAGGTCTGGTGTGTCTTTGATGAAAGTTGCCCTGGATGATTCAGCTTCAGGGGGTGAAGGTGGAAACTGGTTTTGAATTTCACAAAACATTCCAGTAGTACCATATGGACAGGAACACTCTACATGACCATGCTGATCCAGATGACAAGTACCACCATTTAAACAGGTATTATCAGGACAGATATGCTGCTCTTCATCTTGGTCCATGCTGCCACTACTGGTGGGTGCAGGAGCAGGAATTGGGGGAGAGTCACCTTTGTTACCTGGGTTGTTACTGACTTTAAGGACATGAATAGTTTTAGTACTACTCGGGAAGGTAGTAACAGGAACAGTCAGGGTGGTGGTAGTAGTTTTGGCAGTACTAGTGGTGATTGTAGTTGTTGTTGGACAGCCAAAATCTTTGTGCTCCAGTGTCTCTAATTCCTTTCCAGCATTGATAGGTGGGAAATGGCAGCGCGTCTCCTTTGTTCTCTCCAGGGCTATACCTTGGGTTTTGAGCCATCTTGGGAACCATGCTAAGTTACAAAGGCAGTTAAAAGGATTCTCCGCTACTGTGAGCTTTTTTAGGTTGGGGAAGAGCTGAGTGAACTCTTCAGGTAGGCCTTGAAGACTGAGACTGCTTATATCCAACTCTGATAGCTCTCGAAGGTTCTGCAGATCCTCAACCTTTGGAGGACCAATTGGGTTCCCAGCCAGATTAAGGTTATACAGCCCTGGGGTCTCCTTTAGTGCTGAGGGGAAAGAGTCTAGTTGGTTTCCTGAAATGTCCAGCTCATGAAGATTTTTCAGACCCAGTATAAGATCTTTATTCAAACTGGTGAGCCCCATACCACCCAATCTGAGGGTCTCTAGGTTTGGAGTTTGAAGATCTGTAGGACCTAAAGACGGTAAGGCATTAAAGCGAAGGTCCAGCAGCAGTAGTTGGGGCATTAAGAGGGTAGGCAGGGAGGTCAACATGTTACCCTGCAGCTTGAGTTCCAGCAGGTGGTCTAAGCCATTAAAGGCTGCAGGGTGGATGGTCTTTATGCTGTTACTGTACAAATAAAGGCGTTCAAGCTTTGTTGCACCGTGGAAACATTTCTCTGAAATGTGGTTGATCTGGTTGGATGACAGGTCCAAGTTTTTCAAAGATGTCAAGGGCTCAAACACCCTTTCAGGTAGATGGGTCAGTTTGTTCTGACTGAGGTCCAACATTTCCAGCTTCACAAGACCATCAAAGTCCTCAGCTTTAATGTTTTCAATCCCATTGGAAAATAGATAGAGGCTTTGGGTGGATGTGGGTACTCCTTGGGGAAACGTAGAAGAGTGTCTCTGGAAACATAAAATGGATTCTGTAGGCACACAAGAACAGTCTTTTGGGCAATCTTTAGAAAAAATGCCATCAGGAAGGAGGAGGAGGAGCAGAATAGGCAGCAGCGGGTTCAGTAAGGTCTTCATTGTGTGGATTCTTTTTTTCGCCATGCTCCGCCTAAAACAAAGAGAACAAAACAGTTTTAATTACCAGCATGAATCAGAAATACTCAGTGAATGACTGTAATTAGAATACAACAGTACAATATATGAAACTGATGCCTCTGTTACTTGTTAAGACCCAAGTAAAACTTATCATCATAAGTTTAAAGGTACAGTATCAGTCTTTGTGAGAAGAAATGTTTGACTAGTGCAGTGCAGCTTAGAACTAATTTTACAAACTATGGTGTTTCTCTTTGTTCAAAGGTTTTCAAACTCACTAATGACATTTATTGATACACAGAATATTTTTACTCCATTTAATGAAGAGATTACTATCAAGGGCTTCCTCACATGTTCTCTAAAACAACAGGCCTATAACGGCAACCTCAGTCTTCAGAGGGAGTAAAAAGTAAGATGAAGTGAAACATAAGACCAAAATAAGAGGAATTTTTTTAGCTTTTTCTGCTCCCCTGAAGCCTATAATACAGTAATTTAAATTCTCTCTCTGAATAAGTAACAACAAAGCTACTTTTTTGTAGTTTTGTGTAATCATTTTTTGTTGTTGTACATGTGTCATGCTGCACATAGCAAAGCATTCTAGCATGATTTACTTTTAGGCTTCTAAACTGGGGGGGGGGGGGAGTTAATTATGTGGAACTGCCTTCCCACCTTCAGATGTTAGATAAGCAGCATACAATTTTCATTTTGTTTTCTGGACTGACAGCCTGTAATACTTGTCAAACAAGTGCCTGTACTGTAGGACGAATGAAATATATTGATGAGAAAAAATCATTGAAAAGATTTGTAACTGTGTTTTGAACCTTTTCACTTGGGGCTGAGCCTTTTAAAACAAATGCCATGGTGAAGTGTCAGCACACTACTTCAAAGGATGATGGATTGGAGAGAGGAATGAGTGGGAGATAAAGACAAACTAGATGCAGACAAGAGTCTGTAGCAGTCTATCATCCTCAGCTATCCAACAATACGACCTTGGGCAAAGAAACAACATGTATCTGTTTGTTGCTCATTTTTAGCCAAGGTGTCAGTAGAAAGCATGTTTTATTTTAACAGTTGGCTCAAAGCAGATTTAAATACCCCTGCTGTTCCACACTCATATTTGTTTAATAAAATGCTTTGATAATTGGGTGCAAGGAGAGTATCTTATTTGTTAAATGGCTGTCTTAACATTTATGACATCCTGTTTTAAAGTGCTGAATGTTTGCCAACTTGAATGCACGAGGAAGCGTTTTTAAGGCCTGAAATGGTCAGTTGTTCGCTTTGCTTCATAAATACCTAAAGTGGAAGCCAACTTTGTGGGACCTACAGTTTTACACAAATGAAGTGCAAACAGAACAATCTGTGCTCACACTGCTCACCTGGGGTTGTGGCTTATTTCACCAGAAATTTTTAGGCGTTTTTTATGGGTGTGCTACGTTGTTTTTTTCCTTAAGTTACATTTTCCTGTGTAAATTTTTACTAGGTATAACATGTAAAAATTCTTTAGATATATGCTGGTCCACATGTTTGAAGTCTATACGTATGTATGTTATAGTCTAATAATATGTTTGTTAGAGAAGTATTAATTCATATTTTATTATATTTAATAATGAAATGTTAAAAAACAATAATAGGTTTGTTCAGTTGCTGTACTTTCTACATAAATTTCTGAACATTACATCATGTTTCTGTAATTTTTGTCTGTTGTCAATAAAAACTTTAAACTTTACTAATGCATGTAACAGAAACATTTTATCAAAAAGGACATCCCTCAGCTTTAAACTTTTAGACAGAAAATCAAGTTTAGCAAACTTTGAGAAGAAAGAACGTTTTCTACATTTTTGCTTCACTTTTGTTTTTCTCCTGGAAAATGTTATTTCTCGACAACATGTTAGTTGTCAAATATTAGCTTTTTAGAAGGGAGAACAACTTTTCTCCAGCCATGTCGATGAAGTCAACCTTGCGGTTTGATTAAACAAAGCAGCTCACACATTTTCAGAATAAGCTCCTGCTAGCAGAATTAAAACGCCAGAGAAATTTCTAAACCATGCAGAAAACCAACTTGGAATTATACTGTTTATGAATACCTTTGTTGAAAAACAAAATCGCTGAATTTGAAGGGAGTAGTTTAATGCTGGCTACAAACAAATGAGCACCAAATGTGAAGAGTTGAGTTTATTTTAGAATTCTAGAGAATTTACATTTGGTAGCTTGGAAAAAAAAATTGAGCCAGACTCAAAGAACAGCCAAAACTCTTTAAATAGTCTCCAATTCATTGAGGGCTTTGAAATTGTGGAAGTGTGGATGAAAGAGGGAGAAGAAAGCGTGGCAGTTTCACTGTGTATGTATATGGATCTAGAGAAAATAAAGAGATTTGGAAAGACAAACTGGATGAAATGAGTTGAGAAAAACAAACATTTGAAAAATATGCAGATCTCAGGTTTTCATATCACTGTGTGGGGTGTGTGCTGTGTTTCAGTTCAAGTACCATGGTGAATTTGGAAAACCTAGAGGGGATGAACTTTATTGGAGTAGTTTGTATCCTATATAGTTAGAAATAGGAAAATGTAAAAACAAGAGAAACCTTACAGCAAATCAGGGCTAGAATTGGATTAAGAAATCAAAATTAACAAAAACATCAAGCAGGTCTGAGGAATGAGTGCACCATGGAGATAAAAATGAGACTATTTTTCTAAGAAACCTGCTGTGGTATTTCTGCCGTAGCTTCCCTGGGGCAGAATGTTTATTTGAGCGTGTCTCATTCCAAACTGAGCCAGGCACATCTGATAAACCAGCGGAGAAGAAACCTAGGTGGAGGTGGACGGGGAGGGACTCAGCATACGAGCACTGCCAGATTGCAGATAAAGCTGGAACTCGAAAGGTTAGATTCTACTGTTTTCTTTCTCTTTGGCTGTAACCGACTGGTGCTGATGAGTGGCCAAGATAAGGTGCAGCTGGGTGCATCATTTCTGTGTGGATCCAAGTTGTAAGGTGGTGGTGAGTGATTGCTCTGAGTGGAGGTGCAGAGCAGAGGGAGGTAGTACAAAGACTTGTAATCCTGCACACACACCCTCCCCTTTTGCCTCCCTCCTCCTTTCTCAAGCTGTAATTTCCTTTTCTCTCCCCTGTGCACTTGAAGCATTCCTACAGGCAGAAGCTGAGTTTGAAAAAGCGAGTTTGGCTCTCATTGGCATTTCAGTATTTACAGGAAGCTTTTTTTTGGTTTATAAACACTGGACAAAGACCAGATCTTCCATATCAGTGTATGAGTTGGGGATTATATTAGAATAAAACATGAGTGTTGAGTATCTGAAGGACAGAGGTGACAGAATTTTTGTAGAAAAAGCCAGGAGAACATTTTCTTTCAACACTAAGAGACAAATGCTTTGGAAAGAAAAAGAAGCAGTAAGATGAGACATAAGGGATAATAACATTACCCCTCTCCTCAAGCACAATTATTATCCTATTCCCTGTTCTTTAAAAGATGAGGAGGAAAAGAAAACACAACCAAGGGAACAGCAGAGATAAGATGAGGTTTCTGTCAGCAGGGGCCCAAACTGAATGAGACCTGGCTCTCGGAGGTTTAAGTGGGCTTCGACAATTAAATCCTTGCAGCCTGCAGGTCAAGAGTCATCATCCTCAGAGCTCAAGGCCAACACAGAGGGGCTATGACAGGGTGTGGACAAACTGGCCGGAGACAAAATGAGTGCACAGTGCCAACTGACAGTTAGGGATAAGGCTGCACATTACAGAGTTCATACTCCCACAAAACAGGCTTTTATTTCAAGGTCCTTTATCTTCGAAGGAAACGGCGCTTGTGATATGTGCGTTAAAGCGTGATGTTGTCAGCCTGAAAGTTCATCCCATCTCTTTTTTTAACCATCAGTGATGTTTGTGCCACCACCTGGATTTAGTTATCTGCAATCCACTGGAGTTATCTGTCAAAATGACAAAGGAATCGAGGGAGAGTTGAGAAGCATTAAGAAGGGTTTTGTAGACGATACGAAGTTGAAAAAAACGACTTAAGAAGGAACATATGAGAGAACTGACAGCAGACACATGTGGCACAGGTATATGAAAATGTCATGTTAACAAAAGAGTGCTGGTACATATAATGCAGGGACATGGTTTTTAAGACACAAACTACTTTATCTTTTATGTAGCGTCTATTTGCTGAATGAACCAGTCAGACTGTATTAGACGAGCAACAAACAGCTCATAAAAGCTGCCTTGTCAAGATACTCCGAATACTTGGAAAACAAATTACACTTTAATCACTAAAATACATATTACCCTAAGTTTAAAACATGCAGATCAAAGATCTGAGAAAAATTGTGTTTTACTGAAACCAATGGTAACCTTGTGATATAACTAAGAAAGACGAAACTCCAAATATGTTTCACGAGTTTTTACATCAAGATCAATCAAGTGGGTGGAAGATAAAGATGAATATGAGAAGAACCATAATATATAACAAAAACAAAAGTTCTTCTATGGCTGACACTGACAGTACACGTCTTGAAGCCAGTAAATCACTGTTGTTCTCTGTAGTGGTAAGAACAAGGGGTTAGTGGTTCAGCAATGTGTTACAAACAAAACTGCATGATTTTAGTCTACCCACAAGAAAAGACTTTGTTATAGCCACATCCACTCTACATCAACTTTACTTGTACTAATGGTGCTACAAGGGGTTGTATCCATAATGAACACCAAAAACCACTTTATTGAGTCACTTCTGGGCTGCCTTTTGTCTCAAACTTTAGTCTACTTTCCCTTTTTTTTTTCTTTCTTCCTTTTTTATGCATATCCCAATTAGGCAGTTCTTTTAATGTTAAGATTTACTGTTTGGACTTAATCTGTTATAAAGACATGGTGAAGCAATACCATTAGAGCTTGCAGCTGGAAGACATGAAAAGAACATAATTTACAGAGCAGGGGTTAATGTGAGGGTAGCTGCAAAGTAAAACTCACTCACTGCGCACACTTGCTGCACTAAAACAAAGCTTAGGGCAGCTCGGT